CACACTTTTTTTTTTACCTCGATGCCTCCTGACCTGATGTGCTGATGTGACACGGTAATGTCAGACATCTCTCTCGCACTGCAGACCCGATAATAATATGCACTGGCAATGGCCCTCAGAGACAGAGATTCGAGGACGGAAGACTGCAACGGGGCACTGACCTGGCATGTTGATAGGGGAGACGAAGGCACCTATTCGAAGCATTATTTTAGTGTGGCGATTTGATGTTCTAGCGGCTCGATGTAGAACACCAATGGCTTGAAGTTATGTACAGATAGGTGCGCACTATTATGAGTTTTGAAGGTATACATAGTAAATATTTATGCAATAAAACATGTTTCTTTGCAGGAATTGAAGCTTTACAATAACTGTATACATATATAAATATATATATATATATATATATATATATATATATATATATATATATATATATATATATTATATATATATATATATATATATATATATATATATATATATATATATATATATATATATATATATCGCATTATTGTAAGAAATACATATATATATATATATATATATATATATATATATATATATATATATATATATATATATATATATATATATATATATATATGTATATATATATATATATATATATATATATATATATATATATATATATATATATATATATATATATATATATATATATATATATATAACATTATTGTAAGGATATATATATATATATATATATATATATATATATATATATATATATACATATATATATATATATATATATATATATATATATATATATATATATATATATATATATATATATATAACATTATTGTAAGGATATATATATATATATATATATATATATATATATATATATATATATATATATATATATATATATATGATTTTATAATATATAATTTTATAATTTTCTTTCTTGGTTATAATTATTGAAGTATTCCATATATATTCTTTGATAACTAACAGCATTCTAAACGCAATTTACTTATTATATTTAGCCAGTTTAGTTATCATAATCGTAATCATCATCATCATCACCAATACCATCATCATCATCATCATCACCAATACCATCATCATCATCATCATCATCATCACCAATACCATCATCATCATCATCATCATCATCACCAATACCATCATCATCATCATCATCATCATCATCATCATCATCATCATCACCAATGCCATCATCATCATCATCATCATCATCATCATCATCACCAATACCATCATCATCATCATCATCACCAATGCCATCATCATCATCATCATCATCATCATCATCATCACCAATGCCATCATCATCATCATCATCATCATCATCATCACCAATACCATCATCATCATCATCATCATCATCATCATCATCATCACCAATGCCATCATCATCATCATCATCATCATCATCATCATCACCAATACCATCATCATCATCATCATCATCATCATCACCAATACCATCATCATCATCATCATCATCATCACCACCAATACCATCATCATCATCACCATCATCATCATCACCAATGCCATCATCATCATCATCACCAATGCCATCATCATCATCATCACCAATGCCATCATCATCACCATCATCATCATCACCAATACCATCATCATCATCATCATCATCATCACCAATACCATCATCATCATCATCATCATCACCAATACCATCATCATCATCATCATCATCATCATCATCACCAATACCATCATCATCATCATCATTTTTATTTCCACCTTAAGTTCCAACATGAATGCTCTCTCTCCCTTGCACTTTCCCAGAGCTCGAATCCGCGATCTTCTAGCGACCTCGGAACGCTGAATAAAGGACAATGAATCCATGCTTTCCGGCGCCTGTGTTGATCCACTATATATCTCTCCTGAAGTCTTTGGTATTCGTATTTCAGGACATCCAACGCCCGAATGTTGCTGAATCAGTCGTCGGTTAATCGTAAATCATCTCGAAAGGATGATTCTGGCTTCTCTTTGTTGATTTATTGAACGCGGCGGTTCCCTCTTCGAAACACGATAACGTGTGGTTTGCAATGTAACATACTCTAAATTCTGCGTTCGTGCCCAGCCTATAGGCACCTGAATGAAATCTTCATGATATTTTTATTGATATTTTATCAACTAGGTGGTCGCGAAGCTTTAATATATATACATATATATATATATATATATATATATATATATATATATATATATATATATATATATATATATATATATATATACATATATATATATATATATATATATATATATATATATATATATATATATATATATATATATATATATATATATATATATATATATATATATATATACATACATATATATATGGACACTGAGGAACGTCTGGTAAATTTACCTATATATATATATATATATATATATATATATAGGTAAATTTACCAGACGTTCCTCAGTGTCCATATTAAGAATATACTTCGAAATCATGTCT